AATTACAGAATGCTTCGTACGCTGAAAAAAAGTTACGGGCTGTATAGAAATACCTTTCGTTACAGGCTATATAGAAATACCGTCCGTTCCGGGCGCTGAGGCGGAAAGTTCCGGGTGCTGGAGCCGTGGCTTTGATTGCTCCGGGTGCTACGCCTGAAATTTTCGGCTTCTGAGCCCGAAACGCGGACGGTATGTCTATATAGCCCGTGAGTACGGCTTCCGTGGCCAGAGTTTTTTTTTTTCAGTGCATGTATTATTGTATTTGTATTTGATTACATCATTAATAAACAAAAATGCCCGAATAATTCAACTGAAAAACACAAGAAAATGGGTAACCAAGGCTGAAAAACCATAATCAAAGCCTGCAGCCCGATCGTTGAAATTTATGTCGGCACGACAAGAATCGAAAATCGATATATTACACGGCGCTGATGGGGCTATGTCTTGTCTTATCGTGCCGACATAGCCAGTTGAAGTTTCAACAATCCGGCTGCTGGGGCGTTTTTGGGTGGCTCCAACCCCCTCGACAAGGAATCAAAAAATATAAAATTATGAAAAGAGTCATAGAGACTCTGTGATAACCTCTCTTCTTTTTGTTATCACGAATGAAGGTCCAAGAGTTTTGCCAGTTTTGATTTTCATAATTTTATATATTTTGTTTCCTGGTAGAGGAGGGAGCTGAAACCTTCCTAAACGTCCCAAGCTTTGTGTCCATTGTTTTTTAGCCTTTACTACCCAGTCTCTCGTGTTTTTTTAGTTTAGTTACATCTCTATGTGCCTAAATCAGAATACTTATCCGTGGTTTCAGGTATCCGCGAGATAACATCAGTGTAAACGAACCGAAAGAACACTGGCAGTACAGCGGTGCTCATGTCGCCGGTGGGAAAGGTTTTGACTGTGAGACTCTTTTTCCAACCTGCCCCTTCTCTGTTTTGGCCGCATTCCTCAACGCAAGGTTCCAACAAGTCGGTATTGAAACGAACACGTGGAAGGTAACAACTTAAGTCTTTATGTCCATAGTTTATAGGAGCGACGAAAACTTAGAGTTCACTCTGGCTGAACAAGTTTAGAGAGTACATGTCCGAGCACCTCTTAGGTGACACAAAATTATTATTTTCTCCGTTCACTGGAAAAAAAAAACACATTGGATCTAGAGTCCAGACTCTAAAAAACATCGAAAAGAAAAAATACTCTTGATTCAATCAGATTTAAGCTTAAATCAAGAACCCATCCTCTTAATTTGAGCGGACCTCCTTTTGATTTAAGCTTAAATCTGATTGAATCAAGAGTATTTTTTCTTGTCAATGTTTTCAAGAGTCTGGACTTTAGATCCAATGTGGTTTTTTTTTCCAGTGTTTTTAAGCCAAGTATTATACCTTCAAAAATGAAAATGAAGCGCCTCGCATCTATTACATTTAGGCATCAAGTTGGCAACACCGTTTTTCTCCCATTTAAATCTATTGAAAGCATCGACTTTAGGTGAGGCAAGCTGCCTCACCAAGAATCGATTGTTTTACATACTTTTAAATGGAGGGAAAACGGTGTTGCCAACTCTCAATAATCGCGACTGACAAAGAGACTTTAACGCTAGGATAGGAAAACTTACGTTACTCTCCAATGAGAGCTCATAAGGTTCCTAACTTGTGTGAGAAGAAGAGAAAACGGGGAAGGGTGAAAGGGGGGAGGAGGAAGATAGGGAAAGAGCGTGACATCAAATACAGACTTATTGACTTCATTTAAATCAAGAATTCCATCGAAATTTTAAGGACGACTATATCGTTTGCAGTTATAGTTTTTTGACATTGGTAATATGTTTACGGCTTTAATCTTGGTATTCCCGCGGATAGTGTGATTATGGTTCGTATAAGGAGACATCTATTACGACGTATTCGACACGTCATTAAAAGAGTTACAGCAAAGCAAATGCTTGATTTTAGTCTGATTTAGCTCGTGAGAATTTATTGCACGCCTGCGGAAAAAAATACGGAGCCTTTCGTTTGCTCAAACTGAAATGAGAATTCCAGAATCTAATATGAAAGCATATATGAAGCTAATATGAAGCGTTCTTTGATAAGCTAAATAAAGTAATGGAGGAAAGGAAAAATATCGTTAGAAGTTTTCCTATATGCAGATAGTGAGTCCATTATGAAGGTTCTGTAAGAAACTGTTAGTTTTATTGAAAAAATTGACTTATCTGTACATTTCAAACTCCCTGTCAAGTCAGAAATAAGTAATTTTTTAACGTTCTTCAGAATTGTGGATTTTTCTCGGGTCTATAGAAGTGAAAATGAATATTGAAAGAGACTGTCTTGAGCTTAGATCCCCTTCTCTCCTCTTGCGAGACACAAATAGGTGGTGTTCGGTCATTCCCACGAAATAATGAGTTTTTTTTGCTGATTATAAGGGGAAAACTGGTTCTGTTTGCATACCACTTTATGTAAGAGCGGAGAATATTATTCGAGTATATTTTATTGGTTGCCAGGAGTAGGGTCGTCCCGAGAAAAATTCTCTGAGAAAAAGAAAATTCTTAAGACTCTTATTTAAGAAGGGGAAGAAAGCTATGTTCAGGCCCCTCGCCTGCCCCTATTCTGCATTTCAAGTGGTTCTGAATGCTTATGTAATCAAGTGTGTGTCGTTAAAAAGATCATTTGGCAGGAGGGATAAACAATGATTGTCGCATTTCTATTTAAGCCGCCATTTCAGAGACTCGAGTGCACAGAAGAAATAGGCTCTGCTGTGCAACGGTATATTTTAGTATGTTGGATGTAAATTTCTGGAAGATTTGCAAAACTGGATGGATCCTTAAAATTTCTTTCAAGAGCAATGGTCAACAGAGATTGCGACGACGGTAATTTAAGAAAAAACTAGGATTTAAGGGAATTTTTGTACTATAAATATTACCTTTGTTTTCACCGTTTGTGCGGTAAATGCTTTTAATGCTGAAATTCTTTTGGTATAGAAGGGTACACATTTTAGGAGCTTTTTAAGCGCATTTTTTTAAAAGTTGAGTCAAAGTCATTTCTGACATCTTCATGAAATACTCTACGATGAAAACACCAAGTCGGAAGTAAGATTACGAGAATGTGACCACTATACAACCCACGTATCAAATATGAGAAATATTTTCCCGTTTAAAAATATATTGCAATTCCTCTGTATTGAACTCTTCAATTACGCAGTGCTTAACGTTTTGTTGATGATTCCGTTTTTGTGAATGCGATCAACTGTAATACCAAGCTCGGGGTTCCTTCAAGTATAATTTGTTTACGTCGATCGATGCAATGGCGGATTTCATCCGCCGTCGATTTGTTTACCTCTTTCAGTTTCAGTCCCGAAATGCGACGCAAAAATTAACCTGATTATTTCGTCGTTTGGTTTGTAATGCTTTAAAATACTTTTCCGGGCTGTAATTTTCCGTTTTCCAAAAGTATTTTACAAGTTATCGCTCAGAATAAAATTTTAAAAGCTCTCTCTCTCCGTCTCTCTCGAATAAAACATGATTGAAACGTAAACTCCAGACAAATATCTACGTTTAGAGAATTAAAGACGCAATTAAACGCATTGCACTGTGATAATATACCTAAATGTCGTTAAAAAATATGTATTTCGTGTGAGACGGAGACTGTAAAGAGCGATGAAAAAATAGATACATTTTCAGAAAACTTACTTCCATTACCATGATTTTTTTTCTAACCGGGCGGCGCTGGTTGAATTTTCGACCTCAATCCGGCAAGCTTTCTTTGTTCTTTTTGTCTGGTGTAAGTAATTTTAAATCGTTGCGCAGATATAAAGAAATTTGAAGATACATTTTTCCCCGAAGCCCCAATGCGATTTATTTTCATTTACAGGGACCCCACATGTAGGTATTAGACAATGGTGTACATGGTAGATATGGTAATCGTATAATAGTAAAAGATTAAGCATAAAAAATGTTATTTTGTCCGGCACGTTTAGGGTATAGTGAGGCAATTATTTATAAAGAAAATAATCCAATAAATACAAATTCCCCAACATACAACGATGCCTTAATATGATAAACTAATATATTAACAATGAAAAAATGTAATGTAAATACTGTATCCACAACAATGTTATACGAGTTCCACCGTTTCATATTGGTCATAATAACTTTTTACAGGGTCAAAATCGTCCAACGTTTAAAAAAAAACTGAATATATTGCGACCAAAAAGAAATTCAACCTCGTGCTCTACTTCTTATGAAAATCAATATGCGCGTAAAATGAATGATCCCAAGTAGATTTGAACAAAAACAAAGATTCCCTGCCAGTCAAACTTTGAATTTTCTCTTCTTCATAATTTAAAATTCAAATCAATGCAAGCAACAGAGTCATCAGAATCAACAGAATTAGCATGCGCTTTGAATCGCATATTCGCGAATTCCCCAGTTTCATGTTGATCAGTGAGATTCTAATGTGTCAAAATCTCCCAAAGTCTCGAAGAACGGAATACATTGTTTAAAAAAATGTTGGTTTCGTTTGTTTCGTGCCTTGTGGTCTACTTCCTATGGAAATCAAACCCATGCACCTACTTAAAATTATTCTTGGTAAAGTTGAAGAACGAAAAAAACCTTCCTCGTAGTATCATCACTCGAGATCAATTTTTTTCTCATTTTATTCCATCGTCCAAATTTCAAATCAACGCGGGGAATGCGATTAAAAAATCAGCATGCGCCTCAAATCGCTCTTAAGGTTTCGCTCCGATTTGCAGCTAGGAAGCAGAAACGCGCATTCTCAACCGCGCAGTCGGAACCGCGCAGATGTCTCTGCAAATCGGATTATTCGCGCGCACACACAAAAAAGAAGGCAGAAAAAAAAAATAAATAAATCGACAGGAGAAAATTGTCGAGAAAAGTTTTGTTTTGAGTCCAATGTCAGGTTCAAGGTAAACGAGAAGCGGATCCCCCCCTTCCCCCCGGGGGGGGGAGGAATCCCGAGAGGTTGAGAGACCGCAGATCGGATGGTCCGTCTCGCAGTCGTTCAAAAACCGGGCAGCGATTGCACTCTACCTCGCTGAGCAGTGTCTCGAAAGTCACGTTCTGAAAGTCAACGCTGGGATCAACGCTGAGTTCAACGAGGAGTTCTACACTGATCAAGCGAAGGCCGACTAGAGTCGAATCCTCCCAGGTCCTCCTCCGGAAGTCGGGGGTTTTTGGACGCTATAATTAATTCAAAGGCTCGAGCTTTTGACGCGCGCGTCCGGACGTTCCGATTTGGCGGTCGGCTTGTCGGTGCCCTCTGAGCGCGTTGTTTACGTTGTGTTAACGCGTCAACTGGCGTAGCTTCCCACACGCTCGGATTTGACAGATAATCAATCGTAAGTACCTGTTTTATCGAATCAAAGAGTAGAGGTTGGTTAGCGCGTCTGACTCTAGGTCAATAGGTCCCGGGTTCGAATCCCGGTGGTGGCGACAAATTTTCATGGAACTGACGAGCGGATCTGTAAGCAGAATTCGCTCGGCCTTAATCCGTGAAAATTTGTAAGCCCGAGCATGGATGTCTACCAAACTCCCTGATGTCTTCGGACAATAAATAGTGCCTATAGATGGCTGTAGATTCCTAAAGGAATAGAAGCCACTAAACTCTCAATAAAAAAAAAAAAAGAGTAGAGGTTAACAGGATTTTTTTTTCTTATTTTTTTTTCTTTTTTTAAAAAGAAAAGTAAAAGAACACTATAGGTCCTCTAAGTACTTTTTACTTAAAAATCTAGGAGGTAAAATCGGGGTTCACCTACGTCCTATGGGACATAAATAATAGGTTCATTTTGCAAAATATCCCAAGCCGAAACTGGGTCGCATTAAGTAGAAAGGAACCGAGTCACACCAGCAACTGCCGAACTTCATGGCATATTTTTTTGTTTTGTTTTTTTTTGGGGGGGGGAGGGGGAGAACAGTTGTATACATCCAAAAGGAAATTTCCTTTATGGTTTGAAAAAAAAAATCCTGCAAAGTTCAAAAGAATCCGTACAACCGTTCTCTCGTAAAAAAAAAAAAAAAAGTTAACTGCAATTTGGCAAGTGCTGATGTGGCTTGGTTCCTCCTTGCTGTACGCTATCAAGATATTGTCGTCGATCTATCGACGAAATTGTCCAAAAGTATGTGCTACGAGACGGCAAGGACGCTATTTTGGTTCCTTACTTCCTTGTGGTTTAGGAAAGGGACCTACGTCACGAGAGCGTTACAAAGGAGAGGGGAAGGAAGGTCTATAAATCATAAATTCAGCGTTAAATATCATCCCCCCCCCCCCCCCNGGTCACCAAATGAAAGTGACGATACTGCAGATTTTTGTTCGGTTTGTGAGCCGTAATTATTGCGGTTTTCTTATTTAAGAGTAGGTATGCTCCCCTTTCTATCTGAAATTTCCTTCTTCATCCAAATTTTTTTTCATTGTCCTTGTCTGTTGCATGAAAAATCTCGAATGAATATTCAGACGCTGCACTCTCATTCAACCGTAGCATCTCGCGAACATTAATTTGAATGCAAAATAGATTGCATCTCGTATGATTTAATATTTCGCGCATGAATCTGAATAAACGTCCAACTTTCCTGCTAAATCAGAGTGGTTGACCCACTGAGAGTGAGCGCTGGCGGTCGTTGAACGGGAGGCGATTAACCTCTCCGACCAAAATGTTCTTGGATTTTTAATGACTTGTCACCGGATCGGATTTTAAGCCCCAGCATTGTCGCTACACACGTCATCGTTTCCTGGACAAAAGAACGCAACTACGTTTCAACCTTGCTAAATTTCTACTCTCAAAATAATGTTTGGAACCGAGAGCTGTCGCGCACTTGAGAATCTCACTGATTCTTACAAATTGACAAAATGTTGGTCAGAAATTACACAGCCTTATTTTTGTGAAAAATTATATTGTTTGAGTCAATTTTGCAACCTTGGAATGGAGTTACGTTGCTTTGTCTGGGGAAACAACGAAGTTTCTGTCCTTCGACGTCAGCTGCAGCTATTCACTCTTTCGGTTCTCTGAATTTGAAACTCTCAAAACCGTGCAAAAATGACACAATTATTTTCCATTTCTATCATACAACATTTTTTCGCGTAAGAACATTTTGGGCGTTATTTTATTTTGTGAATCAATCTGTATGAAGGAATACGTTGAGCTTAGAAAAGATCCCGTTTGGATAAGTTACTTCATAGCTGCTGGAAAAATATTAATCAATATGAGAAAAGAATATAATGCATCTCAAGGCAGATCGTAGCATGATGTGAACCGCCGCGATGTATATGACGTCATCCATTTTATATTTGAAGAAATTTTAGCAAATTTAAAATTAGAACATGTAAATTTGAAGCCTTCATGAATCGTTAAAATTTGTCAATCTCCATGATTCAGTTGTCAAAATGAAGTCTGAGCAGATACTCTTGACCGACCCATTCTTCCATAATTTGCTTACTTTATTTTCTTTCGTGCTTTACCACGAATCAAGCTAACTAATACGTTAATTATCCGGAAAATGAGGCTCAAAACTGTTCCTCTAGAAATTCAGAACGTGAAAAAATTCTGAAGTTGACGAGGAGTGCGGGTACGAATTCGACTACATGATGGAAGAAGGAGCTAAATTGGCTTAATTTAGAAACAACGTATGTGCTATCAGTAATCCTGTGCAAACAGGTGTTTTATGGATGTGCCAGAAAAGTATCACTCCTCTCTTGAAAATGGTATCCACATTGTATTTCACGTCGAGGCATTTTCCTGATTGTCGACCATTTAAGAAAGAACCAAACCAGGATGACATGAAACGAACGATACTACTTACGAAAGACTTTGATCTCATGGTATTCCATTCAGATATTCCATAAAAATGTTTCGCCCTCGTAAAATTACACGGAATATTCCAATGACACACATTTTAAATCTTTCATAAGTTTCTAATGTTTCTTTCAATCTTGATGATTTGAACTGCATTTTGCAATTTGGAGCTATAATTTCAGGCTCATCCGAAAAAACACTTAGGTACACAGGGAAGTCAATGACACATACGTTGTTTTTAAACCGGGCTAGAATTTATAGTTCCAAATTGCAAAATGTAGTCCATTTGAGCACCGTCGTAGAAATCAAAGTAACCAACTTCGCGTTTTAGACTGTTTTAGATGGGGGCGTTAATAAGAGGATTCTCTGTCAAAATCGGTATTAGTTGTACGAAATCAGATGCAAAGAGGAACACCTTTTTATTTCAATACCAGCGGTAGAAAATCGATGAATTTGTTTGATTTGCCTCTGAAAAGTCTTAGGAAGACCGAAGCTCCTTACCAAAAGTGCATTCACCCGCGAGGCATACCTTGACGCGTGTTCTAAGGTCATCTGCTTTTTTTATGACAGTAAATATCTGACCAAACTGTATCAACATTCATATCCCCTCTGCACAAAAATGTTTGAAACGCGGAAGCTTACGTTCACGGCACACCTGTCTTTTACCGCGCGAGCAGCAGGTGCCTGGGCAAACGAGACAATATAATCTCTGTTGTAAAATTTAGGATAGGTTTTCACACTTGACATCAAAGTTTCGTCCCCCACCCCTAATGTGCACCCACTTATTTCCGCAATAGAACGTAATTGTATCACCTACTTCTTTCCGGAATCATAAAATTTACAAATTTATAATCTCAATTTAAGCATTCATAACGAAACAGTTTCGTGTGATCCCATAACATGAGCAAAATTCTAGAGTTTAGTAGTAGGTGAGTACCTGAGTAAAACCATGAGCTCTGCTTGCTGACCAAATGTATGATATCTCCTTTTAAAGTATATTATATCTATGTTTTTTTGTCCCGGGGATTTTTTTTTGTTTTGTTTTGTTTTTGGTCACCTCTATTGATATTCTTCAGGACATTTATAAGGTGAAATTTCATGCTTTTTTGGCACAAATATATGCGGCTTGGATAGCTTACATCCTTTGTTTTAGAACATAAACTATTCGCCGTCAAGAATTCAAAATTCGATTTCTTAACCCAATGCAAACAAAATTGCTCTATTGCAAATTCTGCCTCCGTAAAATAAGGCAACATTCCCCCGTGGATGGTCATAAATAAATGGTCAAAATTTTAAAATCGAAAGGAATCGAAATAATCTTCGAAAAGAATCGAAAAGAATTCAACTTGCCTGACAACTTTGGAAACATTTTGGGAAGGAACATTCTAAAAACTCATACTTGAGAAGTTTCTCCCCCTACCCTTCTGTGTTTAGGTAACATGCTCGTGAACTCTAAAAATACTTTAGAACGCTTATTTGGAAGTAATCGCGTGAACTTGCCGTTGGCCGCGTTAGGACCGGTACTTTTCCTCGAAGGCGGTTTAAATAATTAGTCCAGCAGTAACTTCCTACCAAATTTTCGCGGAAGGGAGACACCCCTCATGATTTGCTTCACCTGCACGAAGAGTTTCCACAACTTATAAATACCTGAATTTCTCCTTTCACCGAAAAAAAGAAAATGCTAAAGTAACTTCATGGATTTCAAAAATGTGCCCGATGATCCCAAGATGCTGAGTTGACTGTCTCCGCAGTTAACCTAACGTAAAGGCGAGAGCAGTCAATTAATAAGCCGGTATCGATGGACCACGACACACTCTTGGCTTCCTGCGGGTCGATTTCTGAATCCTTATCGAATGATCCAAATCGAAAAATCCCTATCTTAGCCATGTTTTATATAGATTATAGTCATTCGATATAGATTCGTCGATTGTTGAATCCTTATCGAATGATCCAGATCGATAAAGCCCTATCTTAGCCATGTTTTATATCAATTTTAGTCATTCGATATCGATTCGTCGATTGCTGAATCCTTATCGAGTGATTCAGATCGATAAATCCCTATCTTAGCCATGTTCTTTATCGATTTTAGTCATTCGATGTCGATTCGTCGATTGTTGAATTCTTATCGAATGATCCTCATCGATAAATCCGTATCTTAGCCATGATTTATATCGATTATAGTTATTCGATATCGATTCGTCGATTGTTGAATCCTTATCGAATGATCCTGATCGATAAATCCCTATCTTAGCCATGTTTTTTATCGATTATGGCCATTCGATATCGATTCAACAATCGAGCTGCTGGATGCCAATGGACATATCGACGGCGAATGTTTATAAACGTGAAACTCACATTTTGGCGGTTTTGAGTACGCTGTAGAAATGAGGCACAGTAGACGTCTTCCACCTGCTATCAAAATATTTGAGTCGAAAAAATCTGGAGGTCACCTTAAAACGCTGAACTCAAAACACGTATCCTGTGCCGCCGCACAGCATTGACACAACGTGCATCCTCCTAGGAAGAAACATTGACAGCTCAGGAGAGAAAAT